TCTCTCTCTCTCTCTCTCTCTCTCTCTCTCTCTCTCTCTCTCTCTCTCTCTCTCTAGTCATTATGTCTTCTCATAGCTATACAACAGATTTATAATAAAGATATAAATAATATAAAATGAATAAGAATGTTAATTGAATAGTTAACTTCTTAAAAACTCTAAAAATCGTTTAAAATATGTTGAACTTGACCTCATTAGATGGTCTTTACATTCAAACGAAAAACCGAACAAGAAAAATGCGTCTTTTGTCAATCATTTTTATGTTTTATTCTCTCTGCCCAAACTTTGCAACATTTATATTTTTGTGTGAGATCAGACAACAACACAGTACGCATAAGATCTATACAACCCCAAGAGACTACAGATCAGGAAAATGTCAATTTCTATTATATTCTAACTTTGCTTAACACAAGAAAAACTGTTTTACTACTCTCGTTTCTTCTTCTTATTCTTCTTCTTCTCCCCATCTCTAACAAAGGAGAAGAAAAAGATTTGTGTTTACATTGACAAAATGAATCAAAAAAAAAAGAAGAAAAAAGTAACGTTAACAATGATCTAAGAAGAAGATGGAGGGAAAAAAATCTTTTTTCCTCTCTTTCTACAACATGAATAGCTTGCATGATCCGATTGTTGCCTATTGACTATAATCACTATCGGCCCTATTTGGTAGTATGAGTGTGGGTGTTAAAAGGAGGTGGAGTAGGAGGAACAAGGAATGAATCTATACGTATGAAATGAAGAAGAAGAAGAAGATTATAAATAAATCTGACACTCATGTGTGACATTTTTCTTTCTCTTCTAATCATTTTTATGTTTTAGATCTTACAATAATATATATCTAAAAGACATTGAAAATGAATTAGATGAATTGTTTTCATTTTGTTTTTCCTACATGATATCGTTATCTACGAATGTTCAATTGAATGATACTACGAGAAATCTTATCGAAAGTTGAAAAATACTATAAAACATATAGAATTTGATAAAAAAAAAGTTTATGAGAATAAAAATCAAATTCTATCAATACCAAGTAAAGAGAGAAAGAGAGAGGGAGAAAGAGAGAGAGAGAGAAGGAATAAGATAGAGAGAGGAAGAGAGGGAAGATTGTGAGACATTTGAATATGAGTAAATATATGAGGAAGGACTCACTATAGCATGTATGAATTGCTTCATCAACTGTATTATGTCAATCAGAGATTGCAATCGAGAGCTCAAAAGATTAACCAAAAGATACTTATGCTTTAGTGTTAAGCGGAGTAACTGATTATCAGATATAATGGTTTGAGCAGTGATAAAACAGCAATCAAATTCAATTCACATGTTGCGAATATGAATACATGAATGGCTGCGAATGGACAAGAGTGAAAGGTGACAATAATGTGGTTTTAAAAAAAAAATGCCACCACCCGATAATAAAATAGTTCATTGAATATCTTTGAGTGTACGTAAATATATTATTTATACAGTATGAGATACGTAATTATATGATATAATATTATTTATCATCATTCATGGTTCAACCCGGGTGAATGTAGTTTCATCGCTATAACAAACAGCTGTTGGAGTAGCGTCTCCCATATTTGAACTAATACTTTTTCTGTTTGAGCTTGTACATCACTGAAATTATAATTGTAATATATATATATATAGTATAATATATTATAACTAACACTACACCATGTCCTGTTCTTCTTTTCAAATCACTCAGCTTGAAACTTGGTTTTGAACTCTCATATGACAATAGTAAATCAGTATGACCAACATGTAAGCTTTGAGCTCTTACTTTACCCAACATATATGATTTTGTTTTTAAATTATGTGTTAAAGCACTCTATAATATTATATAATTAGTAAAATAATAATATATAAGTAAGAGATTGACTTCTGATTCATAATCACATCGTAAATCCGTACATGATCCTAATACGGTATATGCTTCTCCATCTAAATCTTCCGTAAGATCATCAAGTACAGGTCCTTTTCGATCAACCGGTACAACAAATAATCTCATTGAATACTATAAATATATATATATATGAATATATATATGAATATATAAAATGATACATACAGGCAGAGTAACTGTCTCGAATGATTGAAATGGTCCTTTGCTTGTGATGGAAGTAATGTTTTCAAAGAAGAATTCATTGAAATCATTATTACTTTTCTTTGAAATATTTATAATTGGCGATGATTTTCTTTTAGATATTCTTCCAATCGTTTTCATTTCCTTTTCTAATTCTGATTCAACGAATGTTTTGTATCCAAGTGAAAAGACATTAATCATCTTCTGAATATCACGACTCATCAAATTTCTACCTGATGTAGCCCAATTACTATAAAAAAAAACAATATTAATAACATAAATAAATATGTTGTTAGTTGATTAATTATCAAAAACCTTATTACCTATTTTGTCGTCGAAGAAAAACTTGTTTGAGGCGGAATCGACTTCTATAATAAGCAATTGCAAAATAGAAATCGTTATCATCTAATTCTAAGCAAGACACTTTAAGAAGTGTAAACCATCCATGCATTCCTTTATCATACTATAAGGTTTATAAAGTTATTCAATTATATATATATCATATAGTATATACCTTAAAGCTACTTGTTGTATATGAATTATATTTTGTTTTTAAACATATAGTTAACTCTTTACGTATATCATTGATAGGAAGCCATCGTTTATCTTTGATTGTCGTCACATAACTTTCCAAATCAAGCATAGTTATATTCTTCATTATTCTTTTTGGTATTCTATAATATATATTATATCATATAGTTAATTATATATTATATATAACTAACATTCCGGATGTGAATACAGTATCATTACTTGTATCTTGTATGGGTAATATATTCTGTATATTACCAATATGTGGAAAGTTTGTTATATTATAATCAAATTGTAAGAATTTTGCTGAAATATAATATAATAACTATATGATATAGTTAGTATAGATGGATGATCCATCATTATTATAAATGTAATTGAGATGATTTTCAATCATTTCATTGCTAATATTTACTTTTTGAACAATCTATTATTGCTCATTTAAAGTACTTTTGGCTTAAGAGAGTGAAGTAGAGAGAGAGAGAGAAAGAGAAAGAGAGAGAGAGAAGAAGCAATGAAATGATGAAAAACAATGGAATGATTGATATTCACTTACCTAAACGTTCTTTTGCACTTGACTGTTGAGCTATTCTTATATATGAAAGGAAGAATAATAACAAAAATAGATTAACTAAACGCATTGACTGACTAGATAATGGAATAGAAGGGTTTTGAGTATTAAGAGGGAAAGACTATCTATATCAATCTTAACTATATGTATAACTAAGGATGATGTAGATGATGTAGATGATGATGTATTTTGAATTGTCGTAAATGAGAGAGGGTAAAAGAGTTTTCAATCTCTTATTCTTTTCTTTTATATAAATCTCTTTTTAACACCTTGTTAATCATTCCATCAATTGATTACATAGAGAAGGTGCGTTTTTCAATGATAAATCTCTCTTTTGTTCATATTTATCTGTTGATCTATATAACAAATATTGGCTTATTTCCAATTGATGCACGATTTATCCAGAATCATGATCATGTTATTCTATTTTCATCTTTTTTTTCATCCACAATGTAAAGGGAGCATGAACTTGTTTTAAACTCTTATTTGATTTCACCTCTTTCTCTCTCTCTCTCATCATTTTTTCTTCCTTTCTATCTTTCTCTCTCATTTTCTCATTTGAACATGTTGTTCAAGTTTAAAAGTCAGTTAAAAAGAAAGAGAGAAAAGAAGATGAAAAAAAAAGAAAAGAAATAGCTGTGTTGGGACCTTTTTGCATTCATCAGAACTTTTCTCTTTGGCCCCCCTATTTCCCTGTTCCATAGTGTTTAGCTGCATGTCTTGATGTGTTTCTCATTCAATCACAAGTAAAAGCTGAACAAAAGCTTTTTTTTTCTTCTTCTTCTTCTCCTTCTTCTTTGCTTCTGTTTTCTCATACAGTACACCCCAGATGATTCATTCAATTAAGATGTATGTGAAATAGGAAGAAAAAAAAAGTTTTATTCATTCATGCTTCTATTTTTTTATATTTATTGTTAAAAACTGTTATTGCATAGTGGATGAATGTGACTGACGTCTTCTATTTGATCATATTTCATGTTGAAATTAGTCATTAACAATGATTTTTGATGCTATAGAACAAATATAATCTTTAAATAGAATAACATAGTGATAAATCAAAGTTTTTTTGTTAAAAACCTGATATTCATTGATAATTTTCGTGAAAAGAGACAATAGAAAAGCTGAAAACAAAATAAAAAAAGGGTGTGAGGGAGGGAGATGATAGAGGAGCTGGAGAAGGAGGAGGAGGAGGAGGAGGAGGAGGAGGAGGAGATTGCAGGAGTGCGAATAGGAAGAGAGTCAAAACATTGCTTTTCCTATTATAATCTAAACAATGACATTGTATGATTTCACAATTTCATTTCAAGTCAAAAATGAAGAGGAAGAAAAATAATAGAAGATGTGAGAGAAAAGTGAAATTGAGAGAGAGAGAGATAGATGGCTATGAATGTATTTGGAATCTTCCTGATAATAGATGAACGAATGAATCATTGGCTTTTATCTTTTTTTAATCATTTTCTTTTGCTTTTCTCTTTTTTTTGATGAAATAGTATAGTCATGACTTGTTTTTCACATGACGAGTTAGAGAGTGAGACATTTGTTTGAATGCATTCTATGCCGAACACTGCTGTTTTCGAAAAGACAAGAGCGGGTAAATAGCATGTTGGAGCGCGATTTGCGATATCGCATCGCGACAGAATCTGTCGGAGAGGCAGCCATTGCGGCCGTATTCATATATATATACACATACACACACTCACACACACATGCATGCACTCGCCTTACTCTTGCAAGTAACAATAGACAGAGAAAGAAAAATAGATTGAAGCAAAACAAGAGGCTAGACCGAAGGGGAGGTGGAGAGGCTTCTCAGACTATGTCTGCTTCTCTTCCCTCTACTACTACTCTCTATATCTTTGTTAATGCAGAACAAGTAACAGAAATAGTATACTAGAGAGCAGAGAGTGTTAGAGAGCAAGAGTTTTGCAAGGAGGGGAGGAGATCGTCGTCAGTTGGTTAGTGTTTTGACCGTGTGACGTTGCAAATGCTTGCGCCAATCGTTACCAAAGATATGAGACTGTTTCCTAGCCGCCCATTGCCGACAGGAATTAAGAACGTTCGAAGTCGAGCTAAGTCTTTGGATCAGTTTCAAAATCTTCAGAACACATGCAGCTCTGCCGGTCGTATTGTGCCCGTAAAGCATCGATCCAGTGTGTCAACCGGTAATCTTACAAATTCTTCTAATCAGCCTGCTAGTACGCAATCCTTCCGTGAACGCAAGCCAACCTTAATGTCAATTAAAGAAGGTGAAGAGATGTTCATAGCAGACGAAAACAATATTCGTGACATGTGAGTTTTAAGCTTTTACGATTTCTATTTCTCATTAATTTTCATTTCTTCCACAGTTTTTTTTTGTTGGTCTCTCCCAATTTTTCTGTCTCTCTCTAACTCTCTATAGTTTCCCTCTCAAGTTTCTATATCTCTCACTCTCTTCAGGCATTTTTCTAATTTCTTGAACAAAAAACTTTTCTTTTTTTTCTTTTTTTCTTGCTATTGTTTCATTTAGCAGCTGTTTGTGTAATAGAGGAAGTTAAATCTCACAAAAAAGCGAATAATAACATGCTCAAACGACAATGATATTAATGGATTGTGTTGAAGAGATAACATGTTTCATATTTCATAATGCCTTATATTTCAGATCATATGCTTCTGAGCCGTCACTCCGATATAATTCTGTTCCAAATAAAAAGTTGACGGCTATTCAAGTAGCAAAATTGGAAGCAGCTAAAAAGAAATCGTATGAGCAAGGCACTAGCAATCCGAAGCTATCGTTGTCAAGCAGTGAGACATCCAAAGAGCAGAATAGAGATGAACTTACAAATGGCAAATCGTCCAAAAGTCGGAGAGTTGTCAGATGGATAGCAACCGCCTTGCATAAGCATAACAAATCGTCGTCTGATACAAAATAGGTTTGTTCTATTATATATATATTCATATTCTTTTTTTATTCTTTCTCATTTTTTTTGTTCTGGTGTTTCATTCTCATAATGACACCACAAATGTCTTTATATGGTTGGTTGAGCAGCAAGATAACTAGATGGAGTAGCGTCTATTTCAATAATATATGACATGATTAGTATATAACTGCTCAATCAAACACTTTTATTCTTGTTTTGATTTAAAACTTTTCCTTTTTAGGAGCCACGTGACTTGCAAATTATAAGTCTGCTGCGCTAATCAATATTATAAACTTCGGCAGAAAACAATCTGAAATCTATTTCTACTTCCACAAATATATATAAAAGGATGTTTCTTTCTCTTTCTCTCTCTTTCTCTCTTTCTCTCTCTCTTTGTTTCCTTCATCTATCCACATCAGATTGTATGAGGACAAACTACGTATCAAACGCCAATTTTCTTGTAAATAATGTCCACGATTAAGATAGATTAACACTACTTATATGAGGGAGAACGACAAAAATCATTTTTTTATTTTCTAATTTTCCTATTAATCTTGCCTCAAGCTATTCCACCAAAATTAATTTCCTTTTCATCTTGCATTTCCTTATATTTCTTCCTGTCTCTCTTTCTCTCTCTCTCTATGACTCTCTATCTTTTACTTTCTCTCTCTCCCTCCCTCTCTTCCTCCCGCGTAATCACTGTAATATCTATCTATCCTATATAAGTGATATTATTCAAAACTCAATGGTATAAACGGTAACTATATTTTTGTGATGAAATGTGGAACTCAATACATGTGATTGTAATTTTCGGTTTTATTTATTTATCATTAACATTGTCGAATATATATATATATATCCTGGGCCTTATATGTTGTATTATAACTGAGAACTTCTAATTCTGTCGATATGTATGTATATTGTGTATTTCTTTATTATATATATATATCATATAAATATATATATTATATCTATTTATCTATTTAACTATATGTATAGATAACATGAAGATCTTTATTAACTATATGCGTATAAGGAGGGGATACATCCGTAAAAATCATTTTCTCTTTTCAGTATAATCGATTCAAGTATAGATGAAGAAGGAGAAGAAGAGTGAGAGAGAGAGGGAGAATCATAATATGAAGAAGATAATGATGAAGATGAACAATTCTTCAATCTAATAGTTCTAGTTGTATCGGTGAAGTATATTATACTTTTTGAAGATCGTCCGAGTATTCTTTACCTTTGCAGGTATAGTATAGACCCAATAAAATGGAAATAATACAAGCTGTAGCAACAACAACGGCTTGGAAAATCAAATCATCATTGCTTGGTTCGAATTCGATTTCAATCATTTCGTCAGTCTTTAATGAATTCAATTAAAGGTTCTGAGTGCAAGGAATGAATTAACTTACAAATTCAATAGTGTCGACATCCATATCAGCAATTCGGTTTAAATGTCCCATAGCTTTCATCCGGGAGACAAGAGATTTGGCATCAATAAAGTCATCCTCAGTATATGGAAGAGCAGAATCATTGCTATCCTTCAAATAATGAATTGAGTAACATCAACATGTGAGTTCTTATTATTTCCAAGAATTTAGTGAGAAGAGAGAGAGGAAGAGGGGCATGAGAGAGAAATGAGTTATAATTTGCTTCGTAAGCTTCAATATTCATTTGCATAGTAATCTTTGCAAACAAAATGAATAAGTATTTAAATGATTTTGGGGGGTTATGAAATTGGGAAAAGGAAGAATTTTTTGTTCTTTGGACTGCTTGTGTTCTCTCTTTGAACACACATCGTATGAAATGTTTGATGGAATGTGAAAAACCTACTTTTTTGAGAACTCCAAATTGTACAGTTAACTGATCCTCAGTGTTTCCACAGTTGACGCGAAGGACAATGATATCCTCCTGAAAAGATACTCATCAGCATTGGATCCCTTCACTTCTGACATAGAGATGTCAGGAAAAAAGATTGAGAAGCGCTTCATGCAAATACTTAAAACATTTTTCAGTTCATTGATAAAACACTTCTCAGGTGGTACACTTGAGCCTCTTGAATCTTGGCGAAGTGTGTCAACTCACTTCTTCAACGCGAAGAGAGCTAGCGATCACGTCACGGAAAGATTCTTCTGGCCACTCATCCAGACCATTAACTTTCTCATCCAAGTTGAACTCAATTGATACAACAGGAAACTTTTCTGTCTCTTCATCTCGGGTAATGACCGTGTTACAAGATGATTCTGGAGCTGATTTTTCCTGGAAAACATCACATGATGGAATGTTCGATTATTATATCATACGTCTGATTGGATAAGAGCACAAACACAGACATTGTCATTTCCACTATTGCACACCTAAAGAACATGATTAAGTCAATGAATGTTCTTATTCGAAACTACTTGATGATTTTCCATTGGGCAGATACTCATAACAGTCATTGGGATGGAGGCGAGAAAGACGTAAAAGAACCACATTCTTGAGTAATTGACTGAAGTTTTAAAGTTAGCTCACACGACTGAGGAAGAAAAGGATGGCAAATGCAAAAGGAAGTGAATTTGCTAGAGAATTTGAATGAAATCATAATTATAGTGAGTTAAAGAGAGGAATTGGCAGAAAAAACATGAACTATCTGACATTCAAAAAGAGCACTTGGACGATAGTGGCGTAAACAGGATGTACTGATAAATCTTCCTAGCATCCTCCTACATCCTCCTCTATTATTCTTCTTCTCATCTATTTACCTTTGTTATCTTCAAAACTGCCTAAGCTCTAATATGTTCTCTCATTCGCGCACAGATTTTCAATGTGTAGCTCCTCATTCTACGATGAGCTCATCCTTCTATCTCTCATTCGTCGATCTTCATGGCATTATTTAACAAGTCAGTTCAGAGAACGAGAATTTGATTTTAGCTCAAGTGCTCTTTTATCTTTCTTTCTCTTTCTCTCTCCTTCTTAATATTTCTTGCACATGCATATTCTATCTATATGCTGCCTTTCTCTCTCATTATCTCTCTTTCTCACTATCTCTCTCACTTCATACTTCTCATCCTAACTTTTTGAGACGATAAATCCTAGACTCTTAGCAAAGTAGGAGATGCACTTGAGACATAAAGGTTATGAGTTTTACTTGTTCCACTACTTATCCATAGTCTGATAAGAGCAAAACGTTTTTTGATTCTCTCAGCATAGGACGATTCGCCTTTAACCGCAAATCAAATGATAGAAGTCAAATAAAGGAAACAAACTGCATTTCATGAAACATTAAATGAAATTGTGTGGCAAAGTTTGGATTTTAAAAAGGGCTGATTATTGGTTTTTGTTGAATGTCTTGGAGCAGATTTAATGAATATGTATGTATGAATAGTGAAAAGAAAAGCAGTAAAAGGACGAAAAGAAAGATATTACTAAGAGTAGGTTATAGTAGTATAGTTAAATGGTTAACTATTCTATATATCATATAGTTTATGAGAAGATATTATACTTTTCAATGAGGTTATTAAAGATGTAAAGAAAATGAATGTAAATGAATAGAAATGGATTAAGGTGATGATAAATAACATATATGAGTAGATGAGTATATGAGGATATGTACTATATAAATAACATATAGATATTCTCTAATGATTAGTAATGCATACATCTTGAGATAATGAGACAGTGTTCTTAATTATAAATTCTATGAATCAAGTGTTTTACTTTTTTATTCAGAAATGCATGAGAACATACAACGTCATTTGTGGTATTTAACTTCTTGTCTGCTAGCCATTCGAGGATTCCCCACAGCTTGGATCTTCTTTCCTCTTCATTTTCATCTTTTTTTTTGTTTTTTGTACTAACTTGTTAAAAAAAAAGAAGTTTTTGAAAAGAGTCAGAAAGAAAGAGAAGAGAGATGTCGTGGATACAAAACAAGAAGACGTATGAACGATTGGGCATGTCCCAAGAGTATATGAAACAGGTAAGTTGTTATACTTACTTTATAAGGATATAAGTAAGTATTGTATATGATTATCATGTTTTAAGGTATATGGAGATGCATTAGCATACTTCACACATGGATCTGATTCTAAATTTGTAACAGAAAGAGAGTATTTTGGAGATTTTGGTTATGGCGAATGCTTCAATTCAACAGACTCACATGTTCAAGTATGTTATGCAACACAACAACAACACCAAATGAAAAATTGTCTTTTTTTCTATTTTAAGTGTGAACTGATAACAGGAGATTTCGATCCGAAGCTGTTACCTTATGATAAACGAATGGCATGGCATTTAAAAGAATTTTGTTATAAAACTTCAGCTCATGGAATACCAATGATTGGACAAGCTCCTAACAATTTCTATCGGTAATAATTAATGACAGCTAGATGAATAGATGAAAAAAAAAGAAAAAAATATGAAAAAAAGAATGAGATAGAGAGAGAAGGAGAAGCATTTCTAAGAATGGAAGGTAAATGAAAAATATTTCAGATCTATTTGGGTTTTATTATTTTTGGGATGTATGACCATGTTGTATATGAATGCTGAATCTGTCTACGATAAATATAACAGAAATGAAAAAATTGTGGATATTCAATTGAAATTTGGTATGAAATGAGTGTTTATGTGATTATTTATTATAATATAAATTAATATTTAAGATACAGCACCATTTCCGGCTATAACATTATGTAATCTTAATCCATATAAGGCTAGTTTAGCTACAAATGTGGATTTAGTTAAGCGTACGGTATTATAATTATTTATATTAATTATATATTCATTCATTTGTTATTATATGCAGCTATCTGCCTTCGATGGTGCTATGAATAAAGCGGGTGAAACAAAAGAAGATGGAGCTGGAGATGAAAGTTCCGATGCAACTCGATTAAAGCGTTGGGCAACAGCAAATGATCGAGAGAAAAGAGATTTGCATGGAGCCTTTTTTGAGCCAGTAAGGGTGTCATATTTAATGGATTTTTCAGACTTTTTATTTTGCATTTCTTTTTTTTTTCTTATTTCTTTCTATAGGGTTACGCAAAATGCTTGTGCGGCCAAACATCTTCGGAAATGGCAGGTGAAGATGAGGAAGGAGATGAAGAAAAAGTCGCTACAACAACAATATTTTCAATAAGTTTGACTAAAAAATGGAGGAGTAGGCATGAAGCAAAATATTTTTGATTTATAGCTGGAGAATATGAAGAGATAGAACACGATTACTTGGAAGAAACGATACCAGTGGAGACTTCAACATCTTCTGCATTTGAAGAATGTAAATCAGAAGCGTCAGTAGTTTACAGCTGTTATCATATAATAAAGATGAAATGTTTAGAACAAAATTTCAAGAGCCTACTGGTGCTCATGATCATTGTATTTGCGCATTCGATCGAAATACACATGATGCATGGCCATGCTTTTTGAGTCCACTGTGGGAAAATACTCAATGTGATACATGTAATGAGCATGCATTCTGTACACAAGATAATAAAACAGGTATAGTTAGTTATATATATATATATATATAGTTAATTATAATTAATATATATAAATATAAAATAATAATAATTGAAGCGAGAGGACATAAATCTCCATGCATTTGTGCTCCATCAAAGTTTTGTGTTGCATATAATGGCAAAACACCTCCTATTGAGATTTGGACATATTTGAATGGCGGAGTTCCGACGGAAGATCCTAATTTTCTTGAAGCTATGGGTTTCACGGTATGTTGTTTCAAATATGATTCATAACAACTTATATTTGTTATTTGAAACATATTCATGTTAATTATTCAGGGAATGACAGATGAAGTTGCTATTGTCACAAAGGCTAAAGAGAATATCATGTTTGCTATGGCTACGTTATCTATGGAAGATAGAGAAAAGCTTTCTACAACCAAAAAAGAACTTGTTCAAAAATGCTCATTCAATGGAAAAGCTTGTGATATTGATGCGTATGTATTTGAAATATTCCAAAATAGGTAAAACAAACATGTTTCAAGTGATTTCTTAACTCAAATTGATCCTGTCTTTGGATCATGTTTTACTTTCAATCATAACAGAACTGTTAATCTGACAAGTATTCGTGCAGGTATTTCAATTCTATAGAAGAGACATGTTCTTAGATAACCATATATAGGTCCTATGTATGGATTACGTATGCTAGTGTATGTTAATGCATCTGATTATATGCCAACAACAGAAGCAACAGGAGTTCGCTTAACTATACACGATAAAGAAGATTTTCCATTTCCTGATACATTCGGCTACTCTGCTCCAACTGGTTATGTATCTTCATTTGGATTGCGTTTGGTAAAAGAAGATAATAGAAGACAGCATTTTAATATTATTATCGGATTTTTAGAGAAAAATGACACGTCTACCAGCCCCATATGGAGATTGTGTTCCAGATGGTAAGACAGCCGATTATATATATCAGAATTATGATTATTCTGTAGAGGTAGAGAGAGAGAGAGAGTTTATAAAAAATAGATAAGTGATATGATACTTATAGGGATGTTATCGATCATGCTTTCAACAATTAGTTTTGAAAGAATGCCGATGTGGAGATCCACGTTTTCCAAAACCGGATGATATGAGACATTGTGATGCAGCTGATCCGATAGCGAGTAAGAAATCAATCAATATATATGTATAGAGTATGATACATATACTTATTTATCTAATTGATTCATCGTTTCGAAACGTTTTAAGGAAAATGTCTGGATGCTCGAATGAATGAACTTGGAGGAGTGCATGGCTCATTTCGTTGCAGGTAAAAAAAAGAATTTTATTAAAATAATTCAATGGAGTGGAAAAAATATATAAATATGGATATTATAAGATGTCAGCAGCCATGTCGACAATCGATTTACTCAGTAACATACTCACCAGCTAAATGGCCTTCTCAATCTCTTCAAATTCAGTTAGGATCATGCAATGGAAGTGCTATCGAATGCAACAAGCATTACAAGTATGAACTTACTTCTAACGAACTTTTCTTTCTTTATAATCAACACTCGTATATTTAAGAGAGAATGGCGCTATGGTTGAAGTATTTTATGAGCAGCTCAATTTTGAAATGTTAACAGAATCTGAAGCGTATGGAGTAAGAATGAATAGCTAATCATATACATACGTAATGATATACATTCAAGTTTGTCAATTTGCTTGCCGATTTTGGTGGTCAACTTGGATTATGGTGTGGAATATCATTTTTAACCTGTTGTGAATTTGTTTTTCTCTTTCTGGAAACAACATACATGAGTGCGGAACACAATTATGCAGCTTACAAGAAGCGTAAAGCAGAAAAGAAGAAAGCTCGAGTCGTTTGAAATTCTATTTTATATATCAAACCCAACAACATTCCATTTAAGGCATTTTTGTGTATTTTTATTTTCAACTTTAAGAACGAATGAACTTTACGAACAAAGCAATTTATATAATTAAACTGTCAAATTCAATAGAATTTACAATCAAACTGAGAACGTGGCATATGGAAGAATGCACATGAAACAACCCATTCGTTTATCCAGATGATGGCATTAAGCACATTAAAACCATTTTCATAAATTATCAAAAAATGGCTTTTTGGCGCCAAAATCAGAGTTTGAATCTTGACAGATGTTCTTCTGTTCATGTATTTGTGAGATTATCCGAGATATATGACAGAAAGTTTAAAAGTTCATTTTGCGCGCCAAATCTCCGCCTACGCCCCTTTCTTAACCATTTAACTGCTCAACAAAGCTACCTAACCAACATCTGTCTATAATTGACAGTATGAAGAACTGTATACAACCGGAAGTTGTTTTATGACTACTTTAACTTATTATTTTACTATATGTAATAGTAATTTGATGTTCGTATAAATATAATATTCATTGAAATATGAATATCTTGATGTATTTCCATGAAAAGATTTTGAAATCCTCTTCCATCACATTCAATTGTCGTAAATTCATTTGCATTCATTAGCATATCCGCTACATTACTGAATAATTAAGAAGTATTTCTTCCGGTAATATGAAAGGATAGAAACAGGAGAGCATACAGCATTTGCTTTAAATCTTTAGTACTAACTTTACATGAATTATTCCTAATTTTTTCTAATTAAGAGTAATGTTGGCATCTGTCTTTAGCTATAGTTGTTGTGTGACAATTTGGACAACTGATTGACTTTACGAATACTTTTCTTCTCTAAAGCCTTTTTGAACATTGATTCATATACATGTATATATATATATCTATATATTTATCTATCTATCTATCTATATATATATATATATATATATATTTATATTCATTTTTGCAACTCTTACACACACACACACACGCATAGAGCTCTGTGATGTAATGAAGATGAACATCTACAAGTGTTTCATTTAAGGATTGTCATTGATGAATATGAATGGCTGCTGTATATCCATCTATTCATATTGCATGTTCTATGTTCATATTCAATTCTCAAAGTTTGCTTTAATCTGTTTTCATTTCTTTTCTGCTAATCCTTGTTGAACGGTTGTTGGAAAACTTTTTTTTTTCTCATCACACCCTATATCAGAAATTCTTTCCGTTCGTTCAGATATTTGCTTGACTGAGTTATCGTACTCCACTTCCTACTAATCGCATATATCTCACATTCATATTTATTTGTATTTTTAATTTCCGTAAGCATCTAAAAACGATTTTCAGTAGTTGGTAATTGAATCATTCAGTTGATGTGCTATATAGTATATAGTTGAAGTTTAGAAGTCTATATATCAAATAGAATAATAATTTATCTCTCTTTATACATCTCTCTCTCTCTCTCTATTCATCTCTCTCTATCTTTTCCTCTTTCTTAATATTATAATATTATACTTGTTTTATTCAACAAGAACAAATGCCTTTCTTTATATAAGCATCTACTACCACTATATTCCCTTGAGAAAAAAACTTGAAAAGTTTGCATTTGTTCTTTCTCTCTCATCCTGTCTCTCTCTCTCTTTCCCTCTCTTTCCCTCTCTTTCACTCATTTTAGCACAATGACAATTCTTCTTTTTAACTTGGAAATTAACATCGTAAAAATATATTTGTTCATTTCATTTTATTTCCATTTGTCTGTATTTATCTCCTAGCTGTTAGGGTGGCTCCACTTTTCTTCATCTTGTTCAATTTTTTTTTCTGTTCGTTCATTTACCCACAAGAAACCTCAATATTACACAGACACACACACACACACACATAAGTTCCAGCTCCAACAGATATCCATTTAAGTTACAGTAGAAGGGATACGAAAAGCTGAATTTGTCACCTGTTTGACCTTCATTATTCCATTTTTTCCGTTATTCCCCATAGCATTCACTATGCTCTTCATCTTGTTCTCAGACATTCCCATAGTATATAGAGGGGAAAAAATCTTTTTCTTGTTGATAATCTCATATGTTTTCAACATCCTTAATGGCTGTATCCAATGGGAGTTTTTTTATTGAAAGGTTTAATGTTCCGGAATATGACGCAGTGTGCAATTTGCTTTATGACCTCTTGGATCTAGTGAGCAACTGCTCAACAGCTGTTATTGGCGAGACAAGAAAATATATCAAAAAATAGTAATGATACAGTCAAAAGACTAGCAATAGATGCAGCTGCGCATTTGTGAAGATGAAGAGAGAATGAGAGAAAATCTAGGTTATATTGGTATTGGTTTTGGAGTTGAAAAGCAATGCGATGGCGATATGTTAGAGAAAACTGAGAGTGATGGATTTATACTATATAGCTCTATGACCTTAGGGATATGCTCTGCTCTGACCACTGTTTCAACTTCTCAATATTTTCTTTTTTTTTCCACTCTTCAACTCAGCTTTTTCTTAACTTTACCAATGCTTCTTCTTTCAACAACTTGATAAACCATAAATGGTATCAATGATTATACATTTTCTCGAAAATATTCATCTCAATTCATTATTAATTTATTATTTTTCTTATTTTCAGATTATAATGTTGTTACGTTTATTATTATATGCTGGTTATTTGTATTTATCATTAGCAAATACTATTATTGTTTCTAATAATAAATCTATTCTTGTGGGTGATAGTGTCATCTTTCCATGTACACTTGAATTGACAGAAGATAGTGAAGATATGTATGTTAATCTCATCTTTATTATTATTTATTTATATATTTTATAGTTTAAGTCAATGGAAGAGTAGCTCTGGTGAATTATTGGGTTTTCATGAGGCTGGTCGTCTTGGTGGTCATCAAGGCAGATATAGCTATGTCAAAGTAACCATATTGATTTATATGATGAATAGTCTTATCTTTTATGAATTATAGAGAAAGCCTGGAGATTTAAGTTTAAAAATTGATCGAGTGACTTTGGAAGATGATGGCTTCTTTGAATGCCAAATGATCAGTACTTCTTATGGTCCAAGACGTGCAGAAGTCTATTTGGATGTCATTGGTTAGTTATTATAAATATAATTAATTGTTTTAAACTATTTGTTTCAAGTTCCACCACAGAAAGTTGATATTATCGATCATAAAACTGGTTCTACTATTGACGTTATTGAAAATGATATTTTAAATCTCACTTGTATGATAGGAAATACTAAACCGGAAGTGGATATAAGCTGGTAATTGAATACTAAAAGGAAAATAAAAAGGAAAATGTATATATTAATAGGTTTTTAAATGGAAAAATGATTGAGGATGAGGTAAATAGGAAGAATAACTACAATTTGAACAAGACTGTCACTAACTATGCGAATATAATTTGGCGTCCAAGGTATTATTACTTGATGATCCATATAGCAGTTCAACCAATTATTTGACAGAAAATCAGACCATGGCAAATCGTTAACATGTCAAGGCTATCAACAAGCCAGTTCAACATCTCTACAGGCTAATTTGACTTTAAACATTCTATGTGAGTAATTATCGATTTTCGCCATAATATCAAAGTGTCAATGTTTGTAGTTTCTCTTTTGAACTGTTTTTGTTTTGATTTTTGGTCTTTGAATCGTAGTTTACTCTTTAGACACTTCTGACAAGCCAGTTCTCACGATAGTTGAGGATGAGACTCACATACGACAAGGTGATAACGTAACTCTTGTTTGCAACGTTCAAGGAGGTAATCCGCCACCATCTGTTATATGGTATGCAAGAGAAAAGCCGATTGGACAGAAATATACTTACAATCCAGTGACAAAGGTTTGCTATTTATTAAAGTATATTGTTTGTAATATTGTATTTAAGGAAACAATCAATACTCATGTTGTTACAGTGGATTATACTGATAATACAGTACCATATGAGTGTAGAGCTGTCAATAAAGGTCTGTCAAAAGTATTATCGAATGAATTGATTCTTGATGTTGCATGTAAGTTTATATTTTCTATTCATTACATGTTCATTCGTTGAATAGATCCACCTAAGACAGTTGTAATTGAGGGTGAATCGACTGTTATCTACGGTGAAACAACAACATTAGAATGTTCATCGAGGTATATATTGAATCTTCTTTGTGTTGTAATAATCAATATTGTCATAGTGAGTCTAATCCACCATCTAAAATACTTTGGAATGTCAATGGTCAATCAATGGTCACAGATAGCTATACACATGTAAAGACCGTATGAAAATTAATTCAAAAGTTTTTTCTTTACTTTAAACGTTTATAGAAGATAGGAGTTATCACTAAATCCAATTTAACCATTCATTCATCGGAGGTTGTAAACCGGCGGCATCTTATAACAGTTGAGTGTACAGCTCAAAACTCAGAAGGATCAACATCTGCTCAACATGTCGTGAAGTTATTAGGTTGGATTGATAGATAAGTGATGAATAATATTGACTGGTTGTATATTAGAACCACCTCATATGCCAGTTATATCTGACTTAGATGATAGTGCTCATATGGAAGGGGATGTAGTTAATGTAACTTGTGAAGTCTCAGGTGGATATCCATTGGCTGAGATATCTTGGTACCGAGGACAAGCAAAGGTAATAATCACTTGCTTTTCTAATATGAATAGAAGATATGAATTGAAAAGTAATATAATTAATTTCCTTCAGAAAGTTAGTAGAAATAGACGTCGATACAAACAGATTAAGGTTCAAACTGTTTCTCTCATTTGCTTCTTGCTTTTGTGATGTCCTTTTTCTTTTTGAGATTATTCCAAAGCTATCCTTTCAGCTCATATGAGCTTCAGATTATTCAAGATGAACTTCTTAACTTTATGGTTTCAGATATCTGGTGCTAGAGTATCAACAACTGAAACGAGTGTTATATCCATCATTTCTATTCCACTTGAACGCTCAATGAATAATCAATTGCTTACATGTGAAGCAAAGAACGCTGCTCTTCGAGAACCTTTAAGAGTCAATAGATCTTTGAATGTACTATGTAAGTATTTTCTTTCTCTTATAAGCTGAACATTGAAACTTTTAGTTCCTCCGAGAAGAGTTTCTGTAAGACACGAAAGCCAATATACCCAACTAATAGCAGGAAAAGAAGCTCGTTTAGTATGTTCAGCATCATACTCTAACCCACCAGCTGACATTAAATGGCATTTCTATCCAAATGGCGAGAGGCAGCCTTTCATAGTTGCTGGGGAAACAACTGTTAATGAAACGTGAGTAGTAAATCATTATTACGCGTTACGATATGATTATGGGAACAGACGGCATCTATTTCAGCTCTCACGATGCAGGTTTTACGGTTGAAAGTACTGTTACATTCATACCCAATGAGAAGCACGATGAAACAGTTGCTCGTTGTTTTGCTACAAGTCCCGTTTGGACATATGGGAAAAACGCTTCAATACCTTTGACTGTTTTCTGTGAGATAACATAATAAGGAAGAAATCATCTCTTTCATCGGTTTCAGATTCCCCTCAATCCTTAGGAGATAGTATAATTAATGTGGTTGTTCAAGAAGGCGATTTCTTCCGCAAAAATTTCAGTATGAGAGGAAATCCTCCAATATCGGCTTGGAGATGGGGAAAGAACAATATACCTTTTGATCATACAGTTGGTAATGTTTTTGCTAGAGGAGCTACTTTGACAGGACGAATGGTTAAAGTTAGTTGAGAAATCGGAAACCCAACAGTTACTATTCATTTAGAAAAGTGATTCTGGAATTTATACGGTTACAGCTATCAACAGCATCGGAACTATCAACGTTACAATAAACCTGACTGTTGAGTTCAGTGCTAAGGTAAATACTTTTTGTATTCAACTTGACTATTTTTTGAAAATTTTCAGATTGTAAGTATTTCTTCACCTATAATCGCAACATTAGGAGAAATGGCCTTGCTAGAATGTGAAGCAGAAGCAGAGCCAATGAATAAGAAACTTCTGACTTGGATGAGAAACGATCAAGAGGTGAGCAAAAGAGTGAAACCGAAAACTTTCATTGTTTAGATGAATGCCTCATATGTCGGATACAGTAGAGCTTTTCTACGTCTCAACATAACAGACGAAACAGTAGGAGAGTACAGTTGCGTCGCCAATAACGGAATCGGGTTGCCAGATGTCAAATACACTTACCTACTTATCAAAACCCCACCGCGTATTCTGAAGATTCCTTCGCTTTCAAGAGCAGCAGGGCCACTAGGTGGCAGAGCACGCGCAAGATGCCGAGTCAATACTGTACCAGATGCAGAGTTCGTTTGGTATAGAGGAGGAGATGTAATAAAGAGTAATAACTCTAAGTATAATATACACAGTACTCAACAGAACTATTCTGTTTTCGAGGTATGCATTAGAAGGTATTAACTGATCGTTATGTTGTTCAGAGCGTACTGTACATCAACGCCTTATCTCCTGAGGATTATGCTAGTAATGTTCGATGTGTGGCTAAAAACAGTCTTGGATCAGATTCATTCTCTATAGCTGTAAGTATATAAGCAGATATTTTTAAGAGAATGAATGTTATAATAGGTTGTCGCACCATCACCGCCACATGCTCCAACTGATATTGAGTTGACCAAAGCATCATCCGATTCATTACAATTCATGTGGGAACCTGGATTCGATGGAGGATACAATCAAATGTTCGAAGTTCGCTATCAGAAAGAGGGTGAAGAAATCGTTCATGGAATCAACACTACGCAATCCGTATGAAATAATCATTTCATCATTCACTTCACTATTTTTCTTAAGGCGATCACTTTAACGGGTCTAAAGTATGGTACAACATATAATATTAAATTACGTGCAATCAACGAACGTGGTTTCTCTTCAAAGTTCACTGCACCAGTCTTTACGGCAACAACGCTATCCGAAAACGGTACAACTGTGACCGATGCCAAAAAAGTAGGCTATGAACTGCATTGAACTATAATTACCCATTGTTTAGTCTTTCCAATTCAAAGATCTCTTTGTACTACAAAAGCTACATTACATCATTTTCGGAACAATTCTATTGTTCTGCAACTGTATTGTGTGTTGCTTTATCCATCGGAGGCACAAGCAGAACCAATTGAGAGGTAAAAACTGAAGTATTTAAAATATTTATATGAATTAAATTATTTCAGAAAAAACGTCTTTCATACGAACTGCAAATAATGGCGAACGAATGAGGCCAGTTCAGATGTATGGAACGATGATGCAGGTAATTTGTTTAAACCCTTTAACTATATACTGTACATACCAATTATTACAGTCAACAGCTTATGGACACGAGGATGTTCATGACTTGAGCGAGGACGATCACAGCATTAAAACAATGATAGTGAGTAATTTTTATATTTCATTATTAACTAAATGTTGTAGGAAACAAGTTCGAGGAACAACAATCCGCCGTATACAGCGTATACAGAGCGTGGTAACTATCGTGAGACTAGTCTATACGATCCTTACTACGACTTGTTAATGAGAAATGCACTTAATGTTTGATCTTTAAAATTCCAAAAATTTGAATCAGATGTATCATTTCTTCTTTATTACGATTGTTTCGTGTACCGTATTCCATTGTTGTTTTGATTGTTTATTGTACAAACTCATTTGCAGATTAATAAGTACATTTAAGATTCCTTTTTAGGAATCTTTATTTATTATATTTCTTGTTCAAAGCTTTTTGTACTTTCAATTGATAACCCTATGCTACTAAGCACAGGTAATTTGTTTTCATAAATCATTTATTATAAATTACAAATGAATAAAATTAAAATTATAACAAACCGTTCATATTCTATACTGTCACTGCTCCAATATAGGAGTGACTTTTGACGTGTTCTTCGTAAAGGGCAATTCGTAATCTTCATTCCAGACGGCTTTCGGATCATTCAGTGATCTGGTATATATGTTCCATCCTTGAATATTTTCATAGGAAAACAAATTAGGAAAAAAACAAAATACCTCAATCGATATGAATTTATCTGGCTGTTTTCGTTGAAGAATCCTCGATCTTCACATACCTCTATGCTAATTGAAATCTTAACATTTACCAATATCAAATGTTTGTAGTTAAATAAAGATATTCAGCAATTAGCATTTCCGACGCGCGGAAGCATTTCGATAATGATCTCGTTAATCAAATGTCAGTGATATATTTGGTAACAGGCAGCTAGAAGCTTCCATTATTTCCTTCCAGCAGGCTCATGAGCGGTTGCTATCATTGTTCGCTGAAATTATAATTTTTTTGTTTTCAAAGAAAAAAAACCTTTTTTTTTCGTAACATTTTGTTGAATTCTAAAAGTACCAATTTCATTTCATAATTATGGAGTTGAAGTTTGGATATGATACATTGGATGCCAGATGACATCAATGAACTAGTTTGTCGATTTTCAAATGCTGATAGTTGTAATATCACAAGCAGTTCCGCTACTGAAATTTCTTTGCATTCAGCCTAAAAAAAGTTTTTTCATCATTGTCAATTCCGTAAACTTCCATGCGTTCGGCCAGAAATCTTTTTTTGGCAAGCCATTCGGTCACACTACAGCAGAGAAATGGTTCCTTATATGAAGTGTTTGATGAATATGATTGTCGTTCATATAAATGTTACTTTGACGAACCTATATTTCATTCTGTAATTATGGAATTGTAGTAACGATAATGTTCATTTGGGTGACATCAGCCCATCTATGAACTAGTTTCACTCTATTAGCCCTACCGCCTGTATTCATATTACTCCGAACTGCGTCCATTTACAGCTTTCCGACCTCTTTACGTTCATGTTTCTAATAACAATCAAAACTAATTGTTTAAAAAAGTTTAAAAAAAACTTATCTCCAACACTTTCCATTCTTCAATGGTCACACTATGAAAACGACAAAAAGAATAGTTTTCTTCATTTAATATGTTTCATCCTCCCCCCATCCATTTCATACCAATGTTCAAGCTAAATTTACTTGTTTCATCCATAAATTCAACATTGATGTGAATTATAAAACAAACTTTCTCTTTTTGTGAACTATGCATCTGCCATTTATTTCCACTTGGTCAGTTTTTCACTTTTTTCTGCCTTCTCTATCATTCAGAGTGAAAATAGAATATGGAATGCACGTAGCGATGTCATTCCATAATCAATTATCATTGTTTGACACTTACTCATTACAGTCCTTAATATTTCTATTAGACATTTCTATTTTATAATAATCTGTTGGAGCTATTATAAATAGTCACAAAACCAATTAGAGGATTAAGGCTGCCGAGGCAGGTGCGTGTGAAAGAATAGCGTTAGGATTTCAGAGAGTCACATCAATAGGTATCTCATGTAACTCATCTGTCATTGTCTCGCTCTCCATGCCTATCCTTACGCTTCTCTTCTCATATTTATTAATTTATAATATATACTTATATAAGTATAGATGTATTATATAAATATATTTATGTAATTCATCGTATAGATCTTCAAGAACATCTATTTCTTCATCAAATTCATTTTCCCATTGTTAGAGGCTTCCTTCTGTCCTGGTGCTTCCTTTTCACATTTTTAGTGTTTCCTCGGAGACTGCTCTATTTGTGACCATTCATATTACAATGTCACAGAAACATCGTATATAAAACGGCTGTCTCTTACTTTTTTTTTCTTAATACCAGCCTTTATTTCTTATGTGGTCCTCCCGCCTGCTTTCTCTCTCATCATTCTTCATGGCTCCTAGATATGGACTATTTTTTCTCATCTCCATCTTTTCTGGTAGCAGACGTTTTTCCGATGACTCCAGTTTGACATTAATGTTGTATAGACTAGCTGATGCATTATTCCACTATGGAGCTCCTGGTCCCTGCCTACAATCAATTCTGATTGCACATATTGTGAGGCATCCTGCTTTTCCGGCGGATGCGGTCGAAAATGACATTTTCTATGCTTTGCTAATCGGAAATTATATCAAATATAATTTTTGAAGAAAAAAAAGTGAGTGAAAACGACTGATATGAAAATCAAGAGCTGTATGTCAATAATTTTCTAAACAGAATTCATGTTGACATTGTTATGTCCAAACAATTGACCGAAAATGTAGTTTTTCATCACTATCTGCTTCCTGACTATAATATTTTTCATTTTCATAATGATTGCATTGATATATTCAATGGTGGTTGAGAGTATTTCTTCATATCTCACACCAATCTTCGACCAGCTAATCCTATTCAATTATCTAGCCTCTTATGCTGTAGAAAGGTTTTCTTTAAGTAGCCTAAAGTCATCCAGCATTTCATAATATTCCAATTTAGATAGCAAGAAGTAGGCCTTCTTCCAAATTGTATTTCAATATACTCAAATGCTATTAATTCATTCTTTTATAGCCTCACTTTGCTGACAAATTACTCCCATCTTGATATTCATTACAGATACTTGGTAATTATGATGAAAAAACATCTGATTGCCATTCTGCTGGTTTGGCAATCGGCTACAACATGTGGCTATAGGAGTGCTCGTCTTCGTCGTCAGGTTATTCCATCTCAACACATTCAAGTAATTGCACTTTTGAAGTTAGAAGCTTCTGTTTCTTAATTCTAGGTTCATTCACTTGAGTCCTCAGTGCTCTTGCAAGATTTGGTAGTTGTAGACTCTTCAGAGAATCGTATTGATTTGGATGAAGCGTGAGTGGTCTCGTTTTTTTTAGCCATTTCCTGCTTTATTGATAGAATGAAAACAATCAAGAAAACAAATGTTTTCAGGAAGGTAAAAGGATCCATCTGGTCGGACAAATCTCTTCTTTCCTTTGACAGTCAAGATACATTTGTTAATGTGTCTGCAGAGAATGTCGATTCGTTCTTTAACATTCAGAACTGCGCTATGCTTCATGCTCAAGCTGGTGACACTGACGTATGAAGAGAATAGTCTGCACTCTAGTCATCAAGTTTTTTTTATAGTTTTTCATGAGAAGCAATAGAACTGAAGATGGTAATTCAGCCATTACTCAGACTCTCAATAAGATGGCAAACTTTTCCATTGTGGACGAAGGATTGAATGTTCAAGTCAGGTTTTATTCAACACAACTCTCCACAACTTTATTAAGGCTGTTGGTGGGCGCCGAGTTGAGTTAGAAGCTCAGTCATGGGAAAGGAACATTGATAAGGAAATGAGTCTCTCATCATTCACAAGTCCAATGTTAGAAAAAATTGTTCAACTCAAAGGTTTTCAATCTAATCACCAACTCATTATAATTATTCTTCAATCAAGCTGTGGCTTCCCCTTACAACATTGAGGCTAGGTTTTTCGGATCAACCATATTTATATCATTTGCTGATAAAGTCATCAGGATTGATCCGCTTACTAAAAACATCATAATCTTCACTGACAAGTTTACAGTAGAAGTTCGTGTGAATGAGACAGACTACGGAGTTAGTTGTTAGTTATTATAAACTTCACAAACGTAATTGAGGTTACCATGAACCCCAGAGAAGTCGTAGTAGCTTTACCAATGGAAGAGACAACTGTTTGCATTGACTTATCTGGAGTTACCGTGCAAGCTCGTAAACTAGCCAAGTAAGTATCTTTAAACCATTTCTAATGCTCGAAACTTTATTCTCAGAACAACTATTGAGAGAAATGGTGGAGAAATGAACGTGGGAGGTCTCTTTACTAATGCTGACTCAGTTCAGGTGAGTATAACAACATTCTCTTTAAAACAAACTATTATATTAGATAAATTCTCTTTCTACTGAGCTCACTCTCACAAACGAGGGCAAAACTACTGCGGAAGCTCTTAATTCGGAGATGATGATGTCTAACCCATTGCAGAAAGTAAGTATATTATATGTTTGTTGAGAGTTATATAACAGATTCATTTGGCATCTGCTCATCACCGTCTTGGGATAAATGGTGGAGTACCTCATATATTCATCGAGCCCGGGTACATATGTGTTGACATCAAAGCAAACCATGGAATGCCCCACTTTATGAATATCATGCCTCCATTCATAGCTCCAGAAGACAAATTTGTCAACATTGGACCGTTCGGAGGTATGTTCTCTATTACTTGCATGAACATCACTTCTCGTAGTACTATCAGCAGTGAATGATATGAATGCACCCCCATCACCAGTTTTTGCATCACCACCAATGAACTTAGAACCACACGATATGCAAGTAGCTCCACCTCCACTTCCCGTTTCTTCTTTTCAACGAAAAGTAGTACCAGATTTTGAATTGTTCAAAGGGATGGCTGCTGATTTACCCCAACAAAAACCCCCAACTTTGTCAAATATCACCTCACCTCTCGAGACTGCTACTCGCAGCACTGATAACTCCTCCACAGCAGCTCCAGTCACTACAGCAGCTCCAAAAAGGAAAGTGACTATTGATATGGCTTTACTTCACAAATTCGCCGCTGATTTACCGCAAAACAGAACAGCTACGAATCAAACAGTTGAAACTATGATTGAAACAACAACCTTACCATCAACATCTGCTGCAACTACAATATCGACGACAGCCGCAGCAAAAACAACCATGGCCCCTGAAACATCCACAGTTAAGACAACAACGGAGATTCCGCAAACGACAACATTAACGACAACTCAATCAACAACTACTTCAACTGTATCAACTACCTTGAGCACTACAACATCTACAACGACAACAACAACTGAAGAACCTACGACAAGCATATCAACTACAACAACTCAACTCCAACCAACAAAACCAGTCAAAAAGAATAAAATAACAGTGAAAACGGAAGATGATAACACTACGCACTTGTCGAATGAGACAAACACTATAACTGAGGACATATCCAACCAGCCAATAACAACATTGCCACCACAAACTACAACTGTCCCTCCAACCACCAGTTCTGACCCTATTGCTGAGTTAGCAAAGCTGAGAGCCGAACTTAAACGTATTGAGACTCTTCGAGAATGGGAAGAACAACAAGTATCTCAAGATCATGATGGAGATGAGCAACTAGAGGAATTCACGTATCCAAACGGTACCACAGTTCAAAGAAGAATAAAAACTAGGAGAAAGATTGTTACAACAGTCACACATAGACATAAGGTGAATGCTGTAAGATAGAATAATCAACCAACCGAACTATTACAGCAAAGAATAGACGAAAATGGTAAAGTTACCAACTTAACTCCTGATACTTCATCAGTATGTTCATCAACACTAACCTCAGACAATAACGATTGTTTTAGGCTCAGAATCATACGGTTGTTAGAAAATTAGAACCAAAGGCTATTCTCAAATCAGAAGTAAACTAATCAATTAAACGAAACTGAATGAAAAAATTTTTTCAGATGAAGTTGACAACCAATTCTTCAATAGCACCTAGCACGATTAAAACTAACGAGTCTACGAGTTCACCTTAATAACTTAAAACAAAAAGATTATTGCCATTGCATGTTTGCACCCTTTGTTCATTTTTCCTTCAATGTTGTTATCGCATTTGCATGAATATTACAAATTAGCATGTTTCATCAATAACTCCTTACAGCTGGGAAAACCCGGACAACTCTAACAACTCTACTGTTCCCTAGAGGAGAGACAACAATGGGAACAGCACAAATGACTACAGTATCATCTACGACTCCTACATCTACTAGTGATCCAACAATAACAGTAACAACAGTGACGACACCAACTACATCATCAACACCAATAACACCAACGACAGCTACAACAGCAAACAATGAGCTACTTGAACAGTTATCCTCAACTACACAAAAAGATGACTTCATTGTAACTCAATATGGAGAAGACACCACAGATAGCAATGGCAAGATCAAAGATTACTCTAACTTCAACAACTATGTTCGCCTGTATTCCAAAATAACAATGAGTGAACCGCCACAAAAAGAAGAAAAAGATAAATCAGATTTTCCCAAGCCGGAGAGTTTGATCCATTATAGGCCGCGTGAGTGTTCAGTTGCCGCAAAATTTTTGAATTCAAATGATTACAGACACATCCGAATCGCGCCAAATTAGGAACCCTTTTTACAAACAAGAAAATGTAGATAAATACGGTATCTATTGATTATATAAATCTCAGACCATCATCTTAGTCATTCCAGGATTTTTAAAGAAGAATGGTCCATTTGATGGTTATAAAACTGGTACTGAAGAAGAATCACAAGATGATAATACATTTGATTATGTTGATGCAAGCAACGATATCATATATGCTCCCCATATCTATACATCCAAACTCTTCGGATCAAATGAAGATAAGAAATCGTAAGCAAACAAAAAATAAAAAATAAAGCAAACATAATGTTATTAAGAAAGCGCCTTTTCATGGTCCGCCTAACCATCCCAGACAATGTTAAAATCACCAATGATGATATTGTCAAACGTCTAGATTTCAATTTTCAACATATCTCTGAGTCGTTATCTGAAAAATTTTTAAACAGAGAACGCCGCGAATCAAAAGAAAAAAATCCATACGAAATATCCGTAAGATTTTGAGTATCTATCATATAAAAAAACATATTTGTAATGTGCAGATGATTGAAATGCGCAAGAGAGCTGATACTCTTAGCGTTGTATTTGGAATGGATAAGAATGTTGTCGAAAATGAGGTTCTCAAAGAAATTGCCCTATCTCATCGCTTCTCTTTTCAACCATTCGAGGTAGAGATATCAAACATTTGAAATTTCAAAGATCAAATCTATATAATTTAAATTTGAAGGTACTTTTATTTGCGGAAAATGTTGCACCCGTCAACACTTCTATGCGAGGATTTGTTTTATGCAGCATTTGCGCAATTCTCTGTATCTTCTACTATGCATGGAAGTCACACAGACGAGCATCAAACTCTAGATCTAATATTCCTCGTGTACCTTTGGAGGGTGATGAAGAAGAATATGATGAAGATGGAGAAGAAGGCAACATAGAAGATGATGACGAAGAAGATGAACCCCAACAATAAACATGATCTCTCTCACTCCTGCTCCTATTATCTTACTTTCTCTACATCTCTATTACTTCGTTAACGCTTTAATATACCATTATGCACCTAGAAGAGTATTCTTCGTTCAACGTGCGTAGTCAGTTGTAATTTGATATTTTGTTTTTAAACTAATTATATGTATCCAATGTTTTTTATGCTAATAAAACAACCGTTAATACCCCCACTCATATTACTACTCATCCAAAAAACTCTTTTCTTCTTCATTCTCTAACTCTCATCGTTATAATTGAGTGAGATGAAGCATTAAAACGTCTAAAAACTTTTTTAAACTAAAAATCAGTCAGTAACCCCCTTGCCGTCTGACACTTAGCACAAAAAAGAGAGAGAGAGACAGATTTCAAAACTCTTTCAGCGGCTGCTCTATCAAACTTTTAGAAGCTGGACTACCCATTTCTCAATATTTATCTTTATCTCCCTCTTTATTTGCTCTTAACATAAATTCCACATTGATTTCTCATTTCATATCTTTCTCTTTTTCCACGCTTTCACAAGTGTTTCTGTCTAGCTATCAATTCGAGATTCGTTGCATTAGCGACAATTGTTGCTTCAGCTAGAAATTCTTTAGAAATCATTCGAATTTTATATGATACAAGACAGACGCTCTTTGTCATATAACTAGTACAATCCAGCCAATTTTCTAATTCAATATTCTCTTCATTAAACAACATATTTAATATAATTTAATATTAAATATATTTAAAGTTACCCAAAATTTTATATTGGTTGTTACTTTAGAACAACTCAACGGGCTTTTGTGTAAATTCATCTTATTTCCGCTATATCCGTTACCCAGCCATTTCTTTCTTTCTTTTTACAATAATAACGCCGTAATGCTCTTGGCATCTTCCATCAAAACCTCAGTTCTAATCTTTCTTCTTCTAGATACATTCACCTATACTTTTTAGAAAATGAAACCACTTTAACCTCCCACACGTTTATACATCTTATTGCTTAACCTAACTATATATCTGCCGTATATGATATGCTTTTTAAGAATGACTTGGAAAATCTTGCCGTTAGTTCTTTTTGCGACAACTTGTCTGGCAGCATCTCACTCCAAAACAGATGATTTGGAGTGTATGTTCCTTGGTTATCCCGAATTAGAATATGACGGCTTTGATAGAACAGAGGTTAGAATCAATTAACTTAACGAAAACACATTAATTACTTTGCAGGTTTTAGTAGAGAAAAACTTTAACAAAACTGTTTTTGCTGAAGATGCTAAAAGTGTTGTGTTTTTCAATGATGTTGAAGAAGATGATGATGAAAAAGATCAATATGAATGCTTCTTACAGGTTTGTTTTGACAATACATGTTTTCTATCATTGATTTGTAAACAACTTTTAGCTCTCTGCTCAAATTATGACCAAGAGAGGATATAACTTTTACACTGTCAATACTACTACTCAACATAACTTGCGCAGACAAGAAGGTATTACTATGCAGACAAGAATTCCATTCATATACATTACTTTAAGAAGTTGAGAAGGGTGAAGACACAATCCATGTGTATAAAGATGGATACAAAATTGAATACAATGGTGTAAGAGATCCCGAAACCTTTGTCAGCTGGCTTATGGATGTTTGACCCGATTTTCTCGCAAAAATATAACATTCATAATCAGATCCCCGATGATCCAGTTACTATCATCAATGATGAACATGAGTTAGAAGAGTTTGAAGATATTGCCAACGAGTACGTTCGTATTGTTGGATACTTTGAGCCCGGATCAATTGGTTTACTATACTCAATATAATAACATAGACCTCACGAAATGTATTATAGCTTTGAAAGAATTTGAAGAAGCTGCTGAAGAGTTTATGGGAGAAATTGAATTTTTCGCCGTTGTTAATTCAAAAGTATAATGCTCAAGCCTCAATTTGATAATCCATAATCATATTTGCAGTGGGCTCGAAAGGTTGGATTGAAGAGAGTAGGTGAAGTTCAAATGATGAGACCATTCGAAACCGATCCATTATACGCCCCCTTATCAGCTGATACTGGTCAGTTAAACAAAACAACAAGAGTTATATGAAATGCCTTGTTCAGAGGAAGAATTTGAAGAATGGGTTAATAAGCATAAGGAGCCAGTAATGATGAAACTCACACTCGAGAACTACTTCAATGTTTTCGTAAGTTAAAAATAGAATAAGAAAACGAAATCTGTTACTTAAGAGAGATCCTGAAGAGAACGAGCGCATGATTTTGGCTTTCGTAGATGAAGAGTCTAGAGAAGGAAGAGCTATGCATAAGCTAATGGACAAACTTGCTGATGAGAACTCTAACCATGCTGGAACTTTGGAAATTGTACTTATTGACCCCGGTAAATACTTCTAACAACGCGTTTGGTTAGAAAAACTATTTAAGATGAGTTCCCACTTATGGTTGATGTATGGGAGGATATGTTTGGAATTGATATTGAAGAGAGCCCTCAAATTGGACTTGTTGACATCTCTGAGGTCTTATTGAAGTCGTAGCTATATATCTCTAACCTATTATATACAGAAAGAAGGAATTTGGTTTGATCTCTCTCAAATTAATCTCGATGACCCTAAGAAACACGCTGAAAGCAATTTGGATGTTCTTCAAACTTGGATCGATCAAATTATGGACGGATCTATTTCCCTTGACGGTAATACATTGAGTAGCTAGCGCATAACAGTCAAAACAATGTCAGATGATGATGATGAAGAAGAGCAACCACCTCCACCACCACCAACCAAGAAGGAACGCAAAAACAAAAGAGAATTGTAAATGGAACACTATATCCCCCCCCTTCTGTTTTTGAGAACTTGATAGCTTAAACTGTTTTTTTTGTCTCCCCCCTCTGTTCTTCTCTTTCAAAATATAGTGAGAAATGCAGTAGGCTACTGCTTGATTGTCTGGTTAAAAATATATAATCACTTTGTAAGAATATAGTAAATAAAGAAGTAGCTCTAACAAATAATACTATCTCCCTCATGTACAACTACCATATTGGGTAATAGAAGGAAGTATATAGAATATACATGATAAACAGCTGATAATGAAATATTCTAGAATAGAATTGAATGAAAATACTATAATATATCAAAGAAACTAGAAAAATCTAAAACAGATAATCGATGGTGACTTAAGTGCACAGGACGCTTTCTTGTCTCACATGTTGAATGAGAGGTGACGCTTGAAATGCGCCTTCCGTCAAACGCATACTTTGCACTGTACACACCATTTGCGTCAATATCCTTAAATGGTCGAATTGTCATGTACAGTTGTTGTTTGCAATAAATTGATTTGCAGTCATACTATATTGAGCGAGTATATGCTTCAATTTCCATCTTTTTCTTTCAGACTTTTTGTATTTCAAATTTGAATTGTTTGTAATGTTTGGAGAAACTCTTCAAACTGTTGCTCAAGATTTCTTTCTTTGCTATGGTTTGAATAATACTTTGCGCGTCTTTCAAGAAGATATTTCTGCATTAAAATTAAGGAAAAATCAGGTTATTATATGAATCTATATATAATATATATAAGTTAGTATAGGTTGATTGTGTTATTGAAGATATATTGAGTGGCATACAGTCTATGGATCTCGAAAAAATTTTAAAAGTTTGGACATCATTCAAATCATTTGTAGAATTCAACATTCCTAGTGTAAGTTGAAAGATTTTATTTGATTTTCTATTAATTTCATAATTTAAGCATGAAATAGAACTTCTTCATCGATATGAAAAAGATATTTATCGTTTATATATTGTTTCATGCTATCAACATGGTAATAGAGCTAAGATTGGTTCCTTCTTTCAACGTATGTCTTCGGACCTTTTAAATGATTCTGATTGGCATAAATGGATTGGTTAGTTATTCAATTATTATATATTCATATATATACATATATATTTAAGCCCTTATATATGATGATAAGCCTGATCATCCAGCATACAAGAAATATTTCGATAATTCATGGAAAGAACTATTTGTATTGTCACTTCATAACTTTCTTAGTATTTTAACAAAAAATTTGTCAATCAAAGCTAGAGATAAGCTTTCAAGTCTTATATCTCAAAATGCTGTATGTTCAACCTATTTGATATAAACAAGCACAATCTCTTTCTATTTTCAGAGTTTGAATATGAATAACGATGGTTTTGAAGAGATACTCGAAGATTTCTCCATAATTGCTCCGTGAGTGCCATCTATTGAACATAACTTATATATCTTTTCATATTTATATTTCAGATCTATCAGCAGTCAATCAGATGTTCAGCCATCCAAATCGAAATCATCTTTTAGAGCATTTTTCAAAAATCGCTTATTAAGTAATCAATAGTCTGATTATAATCCCATCCATCATAGAAGCAGCATCTTTTGAAATCATTATTGAATTCAATAATTAATGAGCCTCTTAATTAGCCAAATAAGTATATCTATCTATCAAAATCCTATTCTCAGTTACAAGAACGAAATATTGTGTCTCTAAAAAGTAATGTTGTACCACTCATCTTCTCTCTCTACTCCATAGTCTCCCCCCCCCCATACCACCCTCCTCCCCAAGAAAAAAAAATTTGTATAACTCGCTATGCTAATGGGCCATTTTTCCTCCCATATTTTGAAGCAGTTGTTACCATTGTAAAAAGAAGACATTTAGCGGAACTTTTTCATATTTGCCGCACACAATGTTGATACTTGAGAAATTTGAATAACTTGTAAAGAAAATAATTTTTCGCTCACCCCACCCTCTACCCCCCATTTATTATTATTATTATTATTATTTATATATCTTTTCATATGCTCTTTATTCTTTTCTTCTATTCATATCTTGTTTATTTGTGTATATAAAAAACTGAGTATGTTAAAGCCGCAATTCTAGTATTATGCTATTTGATTTCCCGCCCATTTTCTGGAATATTTGACATTTAACCACCCTATGCATAGTTGTTGGGGAGGGCTAGATTTAAAGAGATAAAAGAGAATTTGAGAAGTGATGGAATAAACATTTAAGCGGAAAGAATGAAAGCAGAAAGAGAGCAACTGCAAAATATATAAGCGCATAGAGATTGAAGATGAGAGAGCTAGAGAGATAGATAAAGATATTGTAAGAGAGCGCTAGCTTAATAGAGAGTAGCAGAGCAAACGAAAAATGATATTGATAGAAGAAAGATGAGTAATAGAGAAATATATAGATCAAGTTCGCTATGTGTAAGAGAAACAGAGTGAGAAAAAGATGAAGAATTTGTACAGCAGAGAGAATAAGAAAAGTAGTTTTCTCTCTCGAGGATCTCTCAATGGTGAATAAGGGTTCTTTTCGTTTGAAGATTTTTTAAAAATTTTCATATTCTGATTTCATTCATCGAAACTTGTTCAACATATTTCTCTTTGAATCATACATAACTCATCTTATTGCATGTATTTCTAGTAGTAAACTGCAGGAGTTTCACTATAGACAGCCGTTTTGATATTTTTCCTTTTGCACTCCCTCCCTCCCTCACCACCCTCCCTCCCCCCCTTCACTTCTTTGCTCCCTCCCTTGCCACCCTTCCTTTTTACTAGTTTTTTGTGCGGATTTGTCGAAATTACATCTCATTTCCGTAATAGTTTGTTATAACTATTTTATTGTCGTTCATTCAGTTTCGGGTTGTAAAAATGATCCTTAAAATGCTGCGTGTTGTAGATCCATCCTCAAATCAGCGTCATTTGGAGTATTCAGCTTATTTGAAATTTTTATTGAGCTGAACCACTTGCTGGTGAATGTTAGATCATTAATTGGGGCCGAGTATGGCCCACACAAAATATGCTACCGCTACATATAACTATATACTGTTATATATATTATTAATACCATATAGTTTTGTTCAATGCAGTCGGTATTATGAGCGTCCAGAATATGGGTATGTTCTTATATATATATATATATATATATGTTATATTATATATTCTTGTTCATAACCATATGTTGCCATTTAAGGTTATCTTCTCGTCATTGCTACAGCTGTATGTCAGAAGAATTTCTTGATCATTGGTTTCATTTAAAAGAGGTTAGTTAATACGATTGTAAAATATTTTTTTTTATGAAAAAAAAAAGAAAGAAAGTTCAAAAAATAGATAGTAGAAGAGAAATAGAGAAAGAGAGAGAGAAATATATAGAGAGAATGAGAAAGGAAAAGAAAAAACGAATGAAATCCATTTTCTCCAAAAGAAAATTGAGACACTAGGGACATCAACAGCGTATTTCTCCAAAATTGCGACTTTTCTCTAGTATTCCTTTGAGAACTCGAAGAATCTATATGTGTCAAACGGAATATGCTAATATATCTTTTAGCATATATTCACAATGAATGCAACTTGTTTAGATTTATCATCAGCCACAAAATTTTACAAATTATTGCTACAAAATACAGCCTGGTATACAAATAGGAATGATTCCATGCAACACAATGTGCTTAACTATAGTAGAACCTCGTATATTAGCTGGTATGTTTCATCTTCTTCATTTTCTGTTTTCTTTTTTTTTCTTCTTGTTTCCTCTTTCCTCGTTCAGAATGAGAATGAGAACAGATATTCTATCTTGCTATCTCATATCATTATATCTATTTCTATCACTCTCTCTTTCTCTCTCTATCTCTCTCTTTCTCTTTACTTTCTATTTTTTAAGGTATGCATGTGGGAAATAATATCATCCGAGGATGCTTGTCAAGTGTTTTTAAGTACGAAATGTTACAACGTGTTCCTGATCCGTTATTAGTTGGTAAGAACATTTGAAAGTTCATCATTCAGTATTTGAAAGGGAGAGAAAGAAAACGTTAAAGATTACTAAGGTTTTACTTAACTGTTTATTCAACAACATAAAATTCCTTTTTCGTATTTGTAAACAGAGAGTGAATTAGATTAATTTGTTTATTGATTGCTTTCATTTAAATTAAAGAAGTTAGCAAGAGAAAGGTCATTCATCGCGAATTAACAGAATTGAATATGTGGACAAGCAGTCTGTTTGAAATGAATCTTGCATTAGCACATCCAAGATAATTGCTTCCGAGTTTTTGATTTGTAAACTTGTCTTTATGTAAATATGGGAATAGCTTAAAGATTTTGAAATACAATATACTATTAGAGTTAAGTGCAATTGCGTGTCAGACATGTTGCACCAGTTTCGAAATGTTTCGATGATGATAATGTGATGAGCAGTTGAGTTGAATATACTCATCATCATGTGCAGATTGATGTCAACATATTAAATTACATGTTTATAGATACATCATGCACTAGATTACCAGCCAAAAAGTTATTTCCTGTACATTTATCGCGAAGGTAATGCGGATATATACAGTATACCTATATAACTAATTAATATAATTAAGATCAAGTAATCGTTCTGTTGAACTGTGTTTATGCACGGGACACTTATGTAACGACTATCCAAAGGTCGCAATGAATCTTTCGTATGTTATATCATTATATTAATATAATAATAATATATTGATTATTTAGAAGTTCAACATCATTCTTCATCATAGGATTTCTATTAGCTGTTGTGTATTACTGTTGAATATGTTGAATGTTAAATGAAATCAAAAACATAAGAATATATATGAATGCTTATAAGACGAGCTATAACCTTCAAACAAAAGTTGTTTCAAAAGATTCTTTACTTATACTGTATATTATCATTCATTCAAGTATTATTATAATTATTTACTTTATTAATATTATTTTGAATAAACATTCTATTTCAATCCTTTTCAATATCATTCATTATCATTTCTTTTATTTTATTATAATTCATCTTTTTCTTCTTCTTTTATTTTTTTTTTGTTTCATTTCAGTGAGTTCAAATGGTTCTTCTTTGCTCCATCATACATCTTTTAGAAGAAGAGGATTTATATAATATTCAACAAATAATACAAGAGCTACACATAGAAGCCAACTATAACGTCATGGTTACTATTGTCTTAAAACACCCACGAAGCATTATAGGACAGGACAACATGTATTTTTGAGTCATTTCAAAAACCCACTCGAACACTCATAAACACCTGCAATGATCCGATTCGTTTTTTTAGTTTCACTTATCTATTTATCAAATAGTGAAGATTTCTTTCAAATTGCTGAATCTCTCCCGAATACGGGGTCAATTGAACCTCATGGTTGTTACAACTATGCTCCTTGTAAACAACCCAAGTCATCTGGTTTTGAGTCACCTATAAGCTGTCCTGCTGGACAGTGCCAATGCTACAATGGAACATCTGGCGAGTATTGTGAAACAGGTAGATCAATTGATTATAAACGAATTTTAAACTTTATCATATCAGGTGATGATTTATGTCAAACTGAGCCGTGTCTACCATTGGGTCCCAATTTCGCCTGCTATAACTCTCTATCATCCTATGAGTGCAAATGCAAAGATAATTGGACTGGAGATGATTGTGATATAGGTTAGGATTATCACTTACGCTTAGATCTCATGAAAATATTAAAGATGCTTCAACTGCTTGCCGACATGAGCCTTGTGTTAATGGCGTTTGTGAATCTAGTAGCGATTCTGATTATACGTGCACTAATTGTGGTGGAAAGTTAGGAAAAAACTGTCAATGTAATTTTCAACTGTTTTTCTCACTTTCTCAATGTTTAACAGATAATGATCCATGTGTGAGTAGTACGTGTGCCAATGGAGCAACTTGTCAAGTACTTTTCGACGGGCAATCATTTAAATGCCAATGCACACCAGGATTTCAAAACCGAAACTGTGACGCCAGGTCTGATGTTTATGGTAAGAACTATTTTCAACGTTCTTATGTTACGACTTCACAGAAAATCCGGCAACCAATTTGGGATGTATCGATTGGGATGATAAATTTATGCAATTCAAAGTTTGCTCGGACATTGAACCACCTGTGACACCAACGAAATGTGCCAAATGCTTGGAAACTCAAACAGATACTTCCTACAAGTTTTTTGGTTTGTTTTTCTATATGTAACTAGTTTGATAAAACATTATTTTTAGGTGTATCTGGAACTCTATGTAGATTGGGAAAAAATGTGAACACTTTGAATATGACTGTCCTTACTCCCGATGCGAAATGTAACACAAACTGTGGGTCAAGTGAGAAATGTGGAACAATTTCTGAAAGGATTTGGATTTACGAACATGTGTCTACTTGTACTGTTTTCCATCATTCTGAACAGACACCTGGTCTTTGTTCCAGATAAGGACTCAGAAACTACATTAGCATCAAAATGCTTGAATGGTGGTGTACCTTACGCAATAATCGATAAGACGAATGTGCAGAGTGGAACAAGATGTATTTGTCCAAAACCTTTCACTGGAGATCGATGTGAAACTGGTAAACAAATCAGAGAAAAAATGATTTTGAAAAGAAAAATCTCTTAGATTATCAGCCATGTGATAATGCAGATGTATGTAATGAAGGAACTTGTCAATACATAAACTATGAAGAAAGAACATTTGAGTGTGTTTGTCCATCCGACAGACATGGAGATAAATGCGATTGTGAGATTACAGAAAAAGTTGAAAAAAATATGTTTTTATTCATCTTACAGTAATCTTTGCTTGTGATGGAAATGAATGTAAACATGGATCATCATGTGTTGATACAAACAATAATGATTATAAATGTGAATGTTTACCATATTATTATGGACCACGTTGTGAGAGTAAGTATTACATGTTTTTAGACATATTATATGATCATTATAGATTTGAACTACTGCCAATATAATGATATGTGTGTTAACGGTAAATGTAAAAACACTGGAGACAACATCTTAGTTGACTTTCTCTGTGAGTGTGAGCCTGGTTGGGAAGGAACTTACTGTGATGAAGGTGTTCAGATATACATTTTATATTTAATATTCTTTTATTAAGATATTAATGATTGTGATCCTAACCCATGTATGTTTGATGGCATATGTACTGATAAGTTTCTTGGATTTGATTGTGACTGTGTAACTGGAACTGAAGGAGTAAACTGTAGCATAAGTATATTACCTGATTGACTGAAAATATAGATACGTTAATTGAATTTACAGATATTGATGACTGTAAACCACCACCGTGCAACACAAAAGATGAAGATGCTATATGCATCGATGGGATAAACGAATACACATGCAGTTGTTCTTCCTCTTGGACAGATGTGATATGTGATTTACGTAAGCGATCCTCAATACTTTTTTCACTATTGAATAATACTTTGATAGATGTGCTCATAAGAGATGTTCTGATCACGTTCTATGGTGAAACTTCTGATCGTACTATGCTTCCGGTTTGAAGGCGAAGAGTACTTACAATAAACTTAATTGTTTTTACAGTTATTAAATGATTTGATGAGTAATCCTACTCAAATCAAAGATATGGTTCCGTTTATTATCGGTATGCTGACTTATGAGGAACGAGTGGATTTGAGTTGGACTTCTGCTGAGTTGTTCGAATGGGTAGCATTTGAAAACAAGAAACTGGACATAGCGTTAGATCTATTATTGAAGCTGTGAGCCATCTTTATGTGGTTTCAGGAAAGATTTCGTTTGTTGGAATGATGTTGTATTAGGCAATTGCTTCACATTCAATAACTACAGTGATGGAAGACAATTTATGCAACGTTCTAGTGGAGAGTTTGGAGGTATATTCGAAGAGACTGAATGATAATTGATGGATTTTTTTGAGGATTACATGCACTGCTTAACATTCAATCGGCTGAAACGTTGCCATGGTTAGAAACAAGTGCTATTATGGTCTTTGTTCATGACAGAAAAGAATATATTTTCTCCGAATCTGTGCGATATAATGCTGAACCAGATAGTGCTATGCAGCTATTTGTATCCGATGTGAGTTGATGAAGAGATTGGGAATAAAATTTTAATGTTTTCAAGAAACGCTATGAGAGGTTAAGTGGTGTGTATGGAAAGTGTGTTAAAGATCCATCAGAAGTAGATGCTTACTTCTATGATGGAATGTATACAACAGACGTGAGCTTATAATAAATCAATAGCTTGTACGACTTTTATCACACAGGGGTGTCTTCGATCATGCTATCAGATCATGGTCAAAGAAAAATGTGGTTGTATGGATCCACGTTATCCTATTCCCATGGATGAGAAGTCTTGTCAAGTAGCTGACAGTGAGTCATGAAGCTCCATCATTTAATTTTTTCCAAGTGTCTTGCATTGAAAACGCTACTGCAACAGCAGGAGATCCAACTACCTGGCCCTGGTGTGTGTGCCCCCTTCCTTGTGGTAATCAACAATACTCTGTGCAATGGAGCAGATCAGGAAACAGTGATACGGTCTGTTTTAGTTTCTCAAAGTTTCATATTATTGTTTCTAAAGATGCCATCTTGCGGTAGTGCTTGTGACGCCAAAGCAAATGATTTGGTTCTTGTTTCTGTTTTCATGCGTGAAAACGAATATCAGACTTATGTAGAACAACCAGCTATGGATGTAAGCTATTCCAATCTATCCTTTCATATATGTTCGGCTTTTTTCAGCTCAATCGGTTCATTTCAAATCTGGGTGGTCTGTTAGGTGTGCTTATGGGCATTTCCATAATTTCATTCATCGAAATTCTCATAATGATTTTTACAGTTGTTTATTACTGTATATCCGGTTGATTGAGTTCAACTTGTACATAATGATTTATTAAACCTTGTATATATCATACCAACGAGCTGTAGAGTGCTAGTAGAGCAGGAGGGAATTATCCAGTGACATTAAATCATCGTGACCTTAGAACGACTTACAACCAACTGGATATATATACCTGGGGAGTAGCTGTCTTCAGCAAGGAAATGAAGGGAAAATTATGTGGATTACACCCTGAAAGTGAAGGTGCGCTAATTTAATTTTAATTTGAAAAATGAATGAAAGGTCTATGTAAATCAACAATTTGAATCAGAGGGCTGCATTTTAGAAAAGATTTGCCAAGTCTCCTGTTCTCATTCATATTTTCCTAATAAAAAAAACTTGGAATGAAAAAAACAAAAAGTCGAAAAGTTGCAAAAAATCATGGGGACTTTGCAAAGAGATGAAACAAAAAGTAATCGATGAGAGCATTCTTATTGATACTCCCCTGGGAATATGGTTGTTATTCCGACAAGTTTTCTAACCCCCCTCAGTCAAAAAAAAATATTTGAAAAAGGGACAATATAGAGTTGACTATGGGTTAGAATTAACATTCTTCCGATTCATCGATTTCTATCATGAGATCACTAATCATTCTCATTTTTGACATTTCCCTTAGAATTTACTTTATTGAACAAACAAGTATAAGTTCATTTGGTAATGAAAGTCTTGAAAATTATTTTCTGTCTAACCTTAGATTAGAATTTTAAATATGCATGAATAGACATCTCGCACTTGCTTAGGATTTCTTTTCTCTGAATTAAGCAACGAGGAAAATTTATTGTCAACTGGTTAAAGCAAATAATATATTTCGTCATCTTCTTCTTCTTCTTCTTCTTTTTCTTTTCCGGTTT